ATGTACACACACATCCTGTTGGTTCAGTTTCTCTGGAGAACCTACCTAATACAACCAGTATGCAAGCCAAAACTGTACCTGAAGGATAACTTTTAATTTTTACAAAGTTCATATATTTCTGGATTTTTATCTCCTTCTATATTCACTGTACTCTTTGCCTGCCTGTAGATATATCAATTTTTAAAAATGAAGATCCGTGACAAGACACTATGGAGGATGTAGAGGCTCTCTCTCTCTCTATTATTCTCAGTATTAAAAAAAGAAATCCTGAATTTTGCATTCCATACCATGTTTTGAAGGAATATTGATGTTATCTGATAGAATCCCCATCATTCATCATCGTGAAATTGAATTTTTTTTTTCAGGAAGCAAGATTAGTAGCTTTAATAAATGTTTAAAATAAAAGAATTCTAAGATTGGTTTTGGTAAAATGAGTGTTAAAAAAATTGAATCACTATGCCCAAAACTGAGTCCAAAGCTAAGCAAGCAAGCAGATATATTGGCAAGAGTTCAGCCAAGTTAGAAGACTGGCAAATCACCCTTATGAAAAAAAAGTTAAACATCTTGAAAAGCAAATAAAGGCTTGAGGTACATCTGAGTAGCAGCTATCAAATTTTAAAAAGGGCTATTGTAGAAGAGATGGAGACCAGCTGTTTTCCAACTCTGCTGAGCTCAGATAAACAAAACTGGATAAAAACTACAATATGACAGATCATTTAGATCTAGGGAAGTATTTCCTGGAAGTTAACGTAGTTGGAATGGTTATTTAGGATGTTCTGGAATACATTCAAGGGATTCTTTAAAGCTGATTAGGTTTACCTTTTCAGGATGTGAAACAAAGTGGAAACTACAGATTTAGGTTCCCCAATTGAGTAATCAGCAGAATCACTAGGGTTAGATGGGGTGAGGAGACTTCAAAAAAACACAGACTTCATTTCTATGAAGTGATAGACGTAGCTTCCAGGATATATAGTTGAGAATAAAAGCAAGGTGCAAAAGAGAATACAGCATGCTACCTTTGGTATAAGTCTAAAAGGGAAAAAGGAACACGTATGTATGCTTATTTGCTTTTTTCCTCTTCAAAAAGGAAACAGAAACAGCAAACCGGAAACTAATAAAATTAGTTACCTATTGGGGATGGGTGGAAGATGGGAATGGGATTTCTCTTTGTATACTTTTTGTTTTAGTTTCCTATTGCTGATAGAATAAATTCCCATAAATGTAGATCCTTACAACAACACAAATTTACTCTTTTACAGTTCTGGAGGTCATAAGTCCAATATGGGTTTCATTGGGCTAAAGTTAAGGTGTCAGCTGGGCTGCATTCCTTCTGAAAGTTCTAGAGGATAATTCATCTCCTTCCTTTCTCTAGCTTCAAGAGGCTGCCTGCATTCCTTGGCTCATGGTCCTTTTCTCCAACTTCAAAGCCAGCAGCACCACATTTTCAAATCTCTTTGAATCTGACCCTTCTGCCTCCTGCTTTCACTGTTTAGGACCCTTGTGATTACATTCAGGTCCATAAAATAATAGAGAATATTCTTGTTATCTTAAGGTCAACTGGTTAGCACTCTTAATTCTTCTTTATTCTCTAACATATTCACAGCTTCTGGCAATTAAGATGTGGACATCTTTTGCCAGGACAGTGGCGGAGGAGGCATCATTCTGCCTACCACATCTTTAAAAAATAATCTTAACTTTTGAATGATGTAAATTTTTATATATTTGAAAATAAAATGGAATCAAAAATGGGTAATAAAAGCAAACTCTAAAATTGAATATAAATAGAAACAAATGAGCCTAACTCTATATCAAATGGTAACATAACTATATGGGGGAGAAAATAAAGAATTTATTCCAGGCCAGGCACAGTGGCTCATGCCTGTAATCCCAGCACTTTGGGAGGCCGAGGCCGAGGCAGGCGGATCACTAGGTCAGGAGATCGAGACTGTCCTGGCTAACACAGTGAAACCCCCTCTCTACTGAAAATACAAAATATTAGCTGGGTGTGGTGGCAGGTGCCTGTAGTCACAACTACTCAGGAGGCTGAGGCAGGAGAATGGCGTGAACCTGGGAGGCAGAGCTTGCAGTAAGCTGAGATTGTGCCACTGTACTCCAGCCTACAAGTACACCCTTAAAATGAGACATATTTTAAGGACTAAAATAATTACATAGAAATCTTAATTTGTACTCAGCAAATTTGTTGTTGGTAATGGTTGTAATGTAGTCACCTTGAAACTATTTTGAGTATATTTTAGGGAAGTATAAATGAGTAAATGTGTTAATGTTGTGGGGAGCCAGGATAATCACTGTGGAAGAAGGGAGATAAAATATGGAGTGCAGAAGGTGAGGGAGAACCTTGTGGTATTGGATTTTTTATATGTATTCCCTGAAATGGCATAGAATATTGATACCCTAGGAGCACTGAGCACACCTAGTACCAAATCTTGGTTTCTAAATAGCATTCCTTGCTAAAAGAAACCAAGGCACTTTAAAGAAATATCTGATCTCAGGTGGAACAGGTATAAGATAAAAGGTAAGCCTGTAACAACTAGTAGTGTCAAAAAGTAAGGTAGTGCTAAAATACAGATCGAGATGTCTCCAAAGGACACATAGAGCTCCCACTGGCCAAACTTAAGACATTTGAGCATCAAACAGATAAATAAAAAGTAGTCACAGATTTTGACTTAAAAAAGGACTTGTTGATATTACAGTAGAGGCAGGGTGAGAGGGAAAGCACTTTTTTTAGAGAACAATACCAACTAATAAATGCAAAAGAAAGAATACATTTGGAAAATCATTGTTTTTGTAATCCCTAATGTAATAAGTGATTCAGCAGGGTCATCAATGAATGTTAAAACAATTAGATGAAATATAGCTGGCATATAGGATATTTACATTATTATAAAATATATCACAGAGTTATTCCATTACAGAAGGAAAAAGATTTGTTTGTGATGGAGAAATCTAGTCAATATTGCCTTAAGTGATCAAACTTGGCTTCATAACAATGAGATGCACCAACATTTTGTGCCTCCTGATTTGATGGAACTTGACTCTAGTCATGAGGGAAAAAAATCAAGCAATTCCAGATATAGGACATTTTACAAGGCAACTTGCCGGGACTCCAGATTAAAAGAAATTAAATTTAAATTGAAGCAAAGCAATGAGCATCAAATGCAATCTGTGACCCTTGATTAGACCTTGAGTTTTTTAAATAATGGCTATGAAAGACATCACTAGAACAATCGGAAAATTTTAAATATGGACTCTGTAATAAGTAATATTGTATCTACATTAAATATCTTGTGTATAATAATGCTATTATGTTCATATATGAAATGGTCTTAGTTCTCAGGAGATATATGATAAAGTATTCAGGGATAAATTTAGTATGATGTCAACAACTGTCAAACAGTTTAGAAGAAGTAGCTGTGTACATGTAACATATATGTACACACACATAAAATGAGGAAGAAATGAATGAAGCAAAATGTAAACACTTACTTTTGATGGAACTGTTTTTTGTGCCACACTTTCAAATTTTTTATAGGTCTGATTTTCAAAATAACAAGTAGAAGAAAAAACCCTTTATTGAGCCCAAGGGCTTCTTGCTACCCTTCGTGCTTATTTAGTTTGTATTTCAAGTTGTTGTTAAAAGATTTTTCTTCTTCTTCTTCTTTGTAAACAATGTGTTTCTGATTATCTTTTTGGAAACCTTCCCTGACATCCAGCTCTGTCTTTGAGTCCCTAAACGATGTGATTTTTTTGAATATGTACGATAGCAAATAGAAGAGATTTCTTGAATTCATGTAATAGCAAATAGAAGAGCTTCAGTGAAAAGAATGTTTTATGTTAATCTCTGTGGAAGTCCAATTTATAGGAAAAACATTTGAAAATGGTAAATAAAGTGGACATACAGTATTACTTTATAACTGGCACTCAGTAAATATGTGCTAAATATGAGTGTATTTTGTAAGCTTCTAAATACCATTAAAATATCATGTGATAATAACTATAACAACAATTTTTTTAAAAGCACAGATTTCCAGGCCCTCCTTCAGACCTGTTGAAGGGCAATCTCTGAAGATAAGACCCTGATCTTCCTTTTAAACAAGTTTGCTCTCTTCTTCTGTTCGCTGAAATTGATGTCTTTAAGAAGATATAAGATGTTTAAGGGCTCCCTTCCTGTCTTTGGGCTCAGCGTTAAGTCCTCCCCCTCACCTCTTCCATCCTCGCCAATCTCTGCTCGCCTCTGCTAATGGGGATTCTTTACCATCTGCCATGATCTGTATACTTTATTATTTTTCCTCACTACCCATCCCACCTTGTTTGCTTTCTCTTGGTTTTCTACCTCTCTCCATGAGTACTAGATCCGTGTTACTCAGTGTACTCTCCATGGAGACAGCCCACCCAGTCTCACACCTAACTCCTGCTGCTCATCTAGTAGGTGGGACAATGTTTTTTACAAAATATGTATATTTTTTAGGGCTCTGTGATTTTTCCATAAAGAAGGTCTCTCTGGGATACCAGTAACTCTGTGGGAAATTCTGAGAACATTCACCAGATTTATGCTTCCTGGGTCTATGCAATCAGGCTCTTGAGGATAATGGTTAAGATGGTGGACTCTGGTGTCAAACTGCTTGGTTCTAAACACAGACTAACCACTTGGTAGCTATATGACTTTTGGCAAATTTTTTAACCTCTTTGAGCTTTGCTTTCTCGTCTGTAAAAGGGAAATATTAACAGAACCTACCTCAAATGGTTTTTGTGAGGATTAAAGGAGTTTACATGTAATAGCACCTAGGAAAATGCTATATAAGTGCTTACTGTTTTTTTCTTTGTATTTCAATGGCTACAAAAGGTGTTTACTTTTTTTTTAAATTCATCTTCACCTTTCCATTGAATGTTAAACCTGGATTAAATTCTGCTTTCAATATATTAATAACTATTTTTATAAAATGATTTCTTTCTTGCTTCCTTTGTGTTTCTCATGAATTCAGGTTTCCCTAGGACTTCTGCATGCCCATGCCACACATATCCTGTGGCCCCCAGAGCGCTGGCAGAAATTAGAATCTGTTCTTCCTCCAGAGCGCTTACCAGTACAGAGAGAAGAGGAATGACTGCATGAATCTACCTGAGTTGCTGGCATTGGGATGCAAACCAATGCCTCCAAAAGGGAAAAACTTCCAACAATATGATGCTGTGTGAGAAAAATTTACAGCACATTAAGACGATCTGTATTATTAAATAAATAATTTTCAAACGTTAAATAGTATTAAATGGCACCTGATTTTGTGTTAAATTTTAGTTCCCTGTTGTTTAATGCCCCCAAAATATGTAGATCTTTGAGAATATAAAAATACTGTACCCACATGTCTTAATGGGGCTAAATTTCAGATTATTTGTTACATATACTTATTCTATTGATTGTTGGGTTTTGATTTTGGTGCTTGCTGCTGAAATAAATTGAAAATTAATATTCAATAAAAATGATGTATTTGCCACTTACTGTTAAGGTAGAACAAGAAGGAACACATATTATACATATAATGATGGGAATTATATTGTGATTTGTAGTATCTACAAAGTAGTAATTGCCAGTTAGGAAGAACAGTAAACAGTGATGTTAAAATAAAACAATGATTTGTCAGGTCCTGTCTTGAGTGTTTAATTCTCATTGAGCACATCCATTAATGAGGAATTTCTTACCTGTTCTGAAAATAAGGAATTAAAGTAATGGAGAACCCATTCTATTAATACTTGCATACAGTCAAGCCTTTCTTATTGGCCCTTTTTAATCCTACATTTCTGAGTGATATCATGCCTGTTCACAATGATGGGTAAACCCATTTATCAGCATTTAGTCATACTATTTGTTTAAAAGTTCTGAGTGAAATAGAAGAAAAGACAGTCCAGATCAGCTAAGTTTGATTTTCTTCCCCTAATTATTTCTCAGTATTCACGTCTGTAATACTGAAATCACCAATTGCAAAGTTATAGTAGAATAATAGAGTCTGTAATTTGTATGGATAAGGGAGTAAATTCCCTGCATCTAAGTCTGTGTTTATGAAAGCTTCTTTTTCATCATAGCATCATCATATTCAACAAATATTGATGAGCACTTATATACTAATGTTGGTCAGAATTTTTTTCTAAAGCAGATCACTTAAAATTTTTCTCTGGCTCTTCATTGCCCTTCTCAATTCTTCAGTTCAATTTTCTCTTCCCCAACTTGAACTTCGTACCCTGGCTTTTAACTGCAGTTGACCAAATACTGCTATTTCAAAACTTGTAATTTTTTTTTTTCTTTCTTGGCAAAGTGCCTCCCTTGGAATTATTTGTAAAATGTTTAGTGCATAAGGGTATTGACCCTTTACTTGCTGGAACACAGGAAGGTCTAAGGGTCATATAAGAGAGGATTGGGAGTACTGAGGGGAGGTAGAGTAAAGAACAAATAGGTGCTGGTAGTGGCTACTATTTACCACTGGTATGGAAGAGTTCAATATTTTAACAGTTTAGCCCATTGGCTATCAGCCTTGCTACCTTATTGACTACCCGTGCCATTGTTACTCGAACTATTCATTCAAGATTTGTAAATCTTTGGAGGGAAGGTAAATGCTCTTCCTATTCAATTTTCTATTCACTAGCCATCCAGCACATCACCAGCAGAGTTAATGCCTAATGCTTGTTGAACAGCTCAGCTGACTAGTTACTTCTTCAGGAATACGACCCCAGGCAGAGTCACTGCTCTACCTGACATATACGTTCATTAATGTGTCACTGTGCATGTTAATGATTTGTGTACATATTTTCTCCCCTACTAGACTGTGAGCTAGTAGTCTATTCTAGAGCAGAGTTTATCTTGCTCAACTTGGTCATACGATTGTTCATAATTAACAATAAAATTCTGTCTAATCAATGTATGAATCCTAGGCACTGTGTTAAGGACAGGAAAATCAAGGTAGATAAAACATAGGTTCTCATAGTCTACTGGTGGGGGAAGGAGGAACTGTAAAGAGGCAAACAGTTAACATACAATTCAGCAGCAGGTATAGAGCATGGAATAGGTGCAATGTGAGCAGAAAGGGCTGTAAATCTGATTGTGTCTGGGGAAATAGAGATGGGGGAAACCATCACAGAAGGGGTGCCATAGGCTGAGCCTTCTAAGATGAATGGAGTTCCCCTCCTGTGAATTATAAATTTAATCTGTATAAATGATTTCAGTCACTTAAATAGTTTCCTCTCAAACGTTACTGCCAGTTTACTGCTCAGGGTGTAGTGTGTATATTGTGTTTTATACATTTAGTTTCTAAAATGTGAAATAATGATTGTACCTCAGGAAGATTGAGATTTGTAATTTTTTTTTTCACTTTACAAAAGTCATTTCAAACAATTTTACTAAGTAATTTATAAAAATGTGTTGTATATCAGAGGTTCCAAGATGGCCAAATAGGAACAGTTCCATTCTACAGCTCCCAGCATGAGCAATGCAGAAGATGGGTGATTTCTGCATTTCCAGCTGAGGGTACCAGATTCATCTCACTGGGGCTTGTCAGACAGTGGGTGCAGCCAACAGAGCAGGGCAGGGCATCGCCTCACCTGGGAAGCACAAGAGGTCAGGAATTCCCTTTCCTAGCCAAGGGAAGCTGTGACAGACGGTACCTGGAAAATCGGGATACTCCCACCCTAATACTGCACTTTTCCAAGGGTCTTAGCAAATGGCACACCAGGAGATTATATCCTGTGCCTGACTTAGAAGGTCCCACGCCCACAGAGCCTCACTCACTACTAGCACAGCAGTCTGAGATCGAACTGCAAGGTGGCAGCAAGGCTGGGGGAGGGGCATCCACCATTGCTGAGGCTTGAATAGGTAAACAAAGTGGCTGGGAAGCTTGAACTGGGTAGAACCCACCGCAGCTCAAGGAGGCCAGCCTGCCTCTGTAGATTCCACCTCTGGGGTCAGGGCATAGCTGAACAAAAGGCAACAGAAACTTCTCCAAACTTAAACGTCCCTGTCTGACAGCTTTGAAGAGAGTTGTGGTTCTCCCAGCATGGAGTTTGAGATCTGAGATTGGACAGAATGCCTCCTCAAGTGGGTCCCTGACCCCTGAGTAGCTTAAGTGGGAGACACATCCCAGTAGAGGCCAACTGACACCTCATACAGCCGGGTGCCCCTCTGAGATGAAGCTTCCAGAGGAAGGATCAGGCAGCAACATTTGCCGTTCTGCAATATTTGCTGTTCTGCAGCCTCCACTGGTGATACCCAGGCAAACAGGGTCTGGGGTGAACCTCCAGCAAACTCCAACAGACCTGCAACTGAGGGTCCTGACTGTTAGAAGGAAAACTAACAAACAGAAAGGACATCCACACCAAAACCCCATTGGTATGTCACCATCATCAAAGACCAAATGTAGATAAAACCACAAAGATGGGGAGAAACCAGAGCAGAAAAGCTGAAAATTCTAAAACTCAGAGTGCCTCTTCTCCTCCAAAGGAATGCAGCTCCTCGCCAGCAACAGAACAAAGCTGGATGGAGAATGACTTTGATGAGTTGAGAGAAGAAGGCTTCAGACAATTGGTAATAACAAACTTCTCCGAGCTACAAGAGGATGTTCAAACCCATCGCAAAGAAGCTAAAAACCTTGAAAAAAGATTAGACAAATGGCTAACTAGAATAAACAGTGTGGAGAAGACCTTAAATGACCTGATGGAGCTGAAAACCATGGCACAAGAACTACATGATGCATGCACAAGCTTCAGTAGCCGATTTGATCAAGTGGAACAAAGGATATCAGCGATTAAAGATTAAATGAATGAAATGAAGTGAGAAGAGAAGTTTAGAGGAAAAAAAGTAAGAAGAAATGAACAAAGCCTCCAAGAAATATGGGACTATGTGAAAAGACCAAATCTGTGTCTGATTAGTGGACCTGAAAGTGATGGGGAAAATGGAACCAAGTTGGAAAACACTCTGCAGGATATTATCCAGGAGAACTTCCCCAACATAGCAAGGCAGGCCAACATTCAAATTCAGGAAATACATTTGATCCAGCCATCCCATTACTGGGTATATATCCACAAGGATTATAAATCATGCTGCTATAAAGACACACTGTACACATATGTTTACTGTGGCACTATTCACAATAGCAAAGACTTGTAACCAACCCAAATG